GGGGGGGGGGAATGGAACTTGGCGCTGACTGAGCTTGTTACAAACAGGTCCAAAGAACTGACATTTTTCGAATGAGTTACAGCAAAAACAGGAGAAAGGAAAGCCATGAATATGAAATTAAATTATGAAAGCAACCTTATCTACGCAATTCACTGAACAAGCAATTCAATTAACTGTGTTAAAATCCGAAACCAATTTCCTTTTCAGAAAAAAAAGGGGGGGACTCATCTTAGATATCTCAATTAATCATCCAGATGCCACTATTTCAGAGAAATCTGAGGCGATTGCCATGCCCTGCACATGCAGGTAACAAAGCCAATTTAATCATGGTGCCAGCAATTGCATGTCGAAGCTCTATCTCTGGTTCACCAAAGTGCACTTTCCAATTAACTGGAAGCCATTAGGAACCTTGGTGCACCAGGGTTCAATAGGAAAGACTTCTGCTTGAGGCAAAGACATGCACATTTTAATTCTGGTTATCAAAGTGAAAGTTGGTCTAAACTTTTAGACTGAAATCTGAGTCTACTTTGCCCCAGAAGATGAATCTGTAGTAGTTCAATTAATTGAAATCTTGCTTCTGTTTTATAACAGGACAGATATATCCCATGTTTCAAACTAACATTTATTTTATTTCATTTTTAGTGGACTATTATAGATTTATCCTAAACTGAGAATAACAACTTTTTTGGCCTAAAAGCAAACACTAATTTTCAGGATAACGTTTTCTTGTGAAACTACCCCATGCTCTGTTCAGATAACACAAAGTCAATTGGTTCTAACTTACTAGAAATGCACCTTAAAAACCAGCACAAGGCCAGTCAAGATACTCACCCAGTCCATGCCTGTGTGTTGACATAGGTGGCATTAGACTCCACGTCTTCTTCCTGGGATCATAACACTCCACAGTATTCAAGGTCTTCAGGCCGTCCCTGCCCCCCACCACGAACAGCTTGTCCTCCAGGACGGCAACCCCAAACTGCAGACGTCGGCCATTCATATTGGCCACTTGGGTCCAGGTGTTGGCACGGAAGTCATATTTCTCTATGCTGGTGGCACCTGTGTGTGTGTATGATATATGAGAATATTTGGTCATTTTTTGGTTTTCTTTGTTGAAAAACTTACCAGATATCTGCCATCAAAAGCATACACTTTAACCTCTAAACTGCATCTCAAACGACGATGTTTTTTCTTTTATATTTCTATTTTAGTTGTATTAAACATTAAACATCCTTATCCCACTACAAAATTTGGATTCTCCAAAAGTCTTCAAATCTTCTATATCCTGGTCTGTAGATTCATATCTAATTTATTTTAATGATAACAAAGTGCCCAAAACAAATTGAGGAGATCACAAAGGAATATCATTCTATATCCTCCCGACACCAGCAAAACAGTCCTCTCTGGCCTGCTCAGACAGGGACAACTTTGGACAGATATTGGTCCTACTTGTGTTCAATAGAAGACCAAGTACATGGAATTTAAAAGTCTGCAGTGTAACTGGGAATTGTCTGACGGCCTCAAGTTAGATCCAATTATTCCAATCCAAAATAGTCTTTATCCAACCACAATTCATTGTGGCAACAGTTTATCTTTTCAGCTGACTGAGAGAGAAATGAAGAAAATACCCTCCTGTTAACCAAGTAAGTCCTCATCAGCAGATAACCAGGCAATTTAGCTCCAAGATCTCCACCCAAGCAGGGTTATCAAGAGAGATAATACAAGATTTGAATAAAACAAATTTCTGGTTATTCCAAAGGCATTCTTTGGCCTTTTTAAAATCTGTGCTTTACACACATACATATATGTATCAAAACACTTAAAACTCGTCTTAACATGTAATTACAGTATGGGGGAGGGGGGGGTGCCCCCCTTTTGCAAGTTTGCCTTCAACAGTTTGGATCAGTCAAATTCAATCAGGTTAACTAGCAATGCCCAGCACAGGGATTCCATTTCAGTGACTCTTAAAAACATAGTGACTTTTTTTATACACATAGTGACTTACTCTCTTAAAAACAACCTGCTTTATTAAAACAACTTAGAGAGGTTGTCATAATAAATGGAAGTGCCAGAATGTATTGAGATTACCCCACAATTGAACAGCAAAATAACAGACTAATTCATAATCAGTGACATCTCATGTTAAATAAATGATTAAAGTAAGAGTTAAGTGACAACAAAATTAATCACTCAACACAATCTAACCTAATATCAACCACCAGTAAAATAGAACCCAGCTATAAATGTGCCTGTTCTTACTTTAAAAAAAATAATAATTTTCATAAAAAAAGAAAGATTAAGCAACAAATAATTTTATCAGCTGTGTTGTACATCTAAAGTGACAATAATAATTTCTTCAAACACCAGCTGAACTCTGCATTATTTACACTGCAATGGATGTAGCCTCATATCCATTAGGAAGTGTCTGGTGAGACACCAATATATTGAAGTGCAAATAATTCTGTTGTTTGAAGAAACTATCAAGTTAACAGAGGCAAACAACGCATGTTAGACCTTCTTAAAGCTGAAGAGAACATTTTCCAGGAAACTCCAGCAACATTCTCTTTATCACAACATGCTGTACCCTATCCAAATCTGTTGAGAAAATCACAATCTATAAATTTGTTTTTTAACTTCTGTATTTCTTATTCTTATCACCAAAAGCGGTGTTCAACAATGTGCATCTTCATTATAAGAGTGATTCCAAAATAAGAAACTCCAAGAAAACAAAGGATTATAGATTGTGATTGTGTCATCAGTTTTGTATACAGCAAACCTAGGGTGATCAAAAGCCAAAGAGTCAAAATTTCCATGAATATAAACAATCCTCTACATAATATACAAAGGTCTAAAGCTCACTGTGTGCCTTTAAAGAAGTAAGCAAGATTAAAGCAACTAAATAAAAAGGTTCAACTTACACTCACCTTTGGTGCAGTCCATCCCTCCTACGGCATACAGGACGCCCACCGTGGACTTCCGCGGCTTGGTGCGAGGACTTTGGAGGGAATGGCGGCGTTCGGGGAGGAGGTGGTACTTCAAGGCCTCCATTATCAGTTCCTGACATTCTCTGTCTTCCTTAAATAGAGCATTAGTTTCTACGTGGTCCGCAATGAACTGAAAAAGGGATGAAGGGGATAAGCTGTCAAGACACTGACTGGGATGATTCTATTATATTGGGGCTTATTTTACAAAAATATAGAAAAGCACAAAATAAACTAAAAGTGGATCAAGGAGAGAAGCTGTCAAATTAAAATAGCTGATTTTGTGAAACAGAGCCTAATTGTACACTGGAATTGGATTTAGTCCTTTAGATACACATTTTATTACTGAACAGCTTTAAGTGTAAGTATGTATCTAAAGAACTAAATCCAATTCCACAGAAGAAAATAACATATCAGTAAGGTGTAGAAAAATACCCAATATCACCTCTGTTAACATTACCAATCCTGAATGGGTCTGAACATTTTGTGACATATTTTTCATTCCAACGAGTTCAGGTTTTTAAAATATGCCTCTGAATGTTACTTATCAAAATGAAACAGCAAGTAAGCTGGGGAAGCAACAAAAGATCTTTAAAGGGAACCATATTTCACATACTACACCAGATTCTACTTTTCAACTCAGATTTTCTATAAAACTTGGCCATTGATCAATTCACACCTCAAGGCTCCATGCTTAACTGACTCGGCAAGATTTCTTTGTGAATCTGCCAATCAATTATTCCATCCACCAACTGACCAATGAACAAACAAGCTGTCAATCAGTCAGTCAGTCCATCTATCAATCAATGCATCAACCAACCATCCAAACAATCTCACCTGTGGAGGTAATAATGGCAGTTTGACATTGGCGAGTAATTTACTGAGGTATTTTTTGCGTGTGCTCATGTCGTGTTTTGCCCACGTGCACAGCGCATGAAAAGTCATTTCTTCATTTGGCACGTTCAGATCGTCATTTGTCAGGAGTTTGGACACCTCATCTGCTGACAGCTCACAGAACTCCTGATTTTGCATCACATCACAAAAGTTTTCCTTCAAGAATGAAAATAAAGAGATAATTATACTGCTGTTCTTTTTTAACAGAAATATTGGGCTCTTCCCAGGATTTCACCCATCAGAAATCTCAACTTACCAAATGGTCTGTGACATCTGATCATCTGAAGAAATGGGTTCGATACATAATAATAACATTATTACTATTTTCTTTATTTTTCTTATTACTATGATTATTATTATCATCATTATCAGTTTTATGATCTTGCTCCAAATAATGCAATGAACATACTCATTATTATTATTATTATTATTATTATTATTATTATTATTATTATTATTATTATCTGTATCTTCACTTACCATGACATAGTTATTGGCGACTTTATACAGATCTGTACATCCCTGAGCATCGGCAAACTGCCGTATTCCTAAACAGTTGGAAGGATGAAGCTGCTTCATGAGATAGCCGCAGCATGCCTCTACCACCTCAGAAAGCTGGAGTAAACAGGCCGTGGACAGAAGGCTCTCCACAGACTCATCTCGCAGCTCAATTCTTCCTGGAAGGAGAAAAATAATGATATGATGGACTCGTCACTGAGCTTTGTGTTTTTTGTAAGTAAAAATGTACAGCTGTGACAAATTCATCTCAGCACACTGTTCCTTCAGGAAGTATAAATATTGGGAGATGTCAGACTCCTCACAGGGCTTAATATTTTGTGAAAGTAAAATTGTAAACATATACCTTTTTTTCAGTTCAATTTTCAATTTTGAGTTCCATTTTTTCGTGAAAGTTAAAATATAAACACATGACAAATTCATTTCAGAGATCATTTTTTTTTAAGTATATAGACGGGTTTTGGATCCAGCAGTTGAGGTACAGGTTCCTGGCCAAACCCATGATATGGTACCTTCCAGGTGGGTGCTGGTGGTCAAATTACAGTGACTAGCTAAAATGGGTTTGTAGACTTCTCTGAAAACAAGTGCCATGCAATCAAAATAGCATATACATAGCATACACATATGTAAACCATTTCACATATTTGCATGAAACAAAGTGTTGTATGTTCTTGGATGAGCAAGCACATAACAAGTACAACACAGGTAAATGTTCATATTTCCAAGAGTTTGCAACCTGTTAGTAGTGTTGATATGCATACATTTATACTTCAGCAATTCAAAAACCTGAAGAAGGAAGCCACAAAAAGAGAGAAAGTTTTAACATGTGACTCATGACAACAGATTATTCAGCATCTTACTGAGCTGGAAGAATATATGCATAATCATTCAGGGTATTAGTATTAGCTGGCCATAACATGATTCATCATCTTTCCAGCATAGACTAAACAATGCTTTGTAGCATGCTTGCTTCATTCAAATTTCCTGCAAGTAAAAAGAAACATTAATTTTAGACAAGACTCATATTTCCTGACATTTTGTCATGTAACTTTATTCAAGAGAGCAGAACACTGTCTAAGAAGGTATCTTTACTTAACCAATTTCTCAGCCACCAGTATGGCCACCCATCATCTTTGTGTAGACTTTCCCATTGTTTTCTTTGCAAAGAAAAACTATTTCCGTCCTCTGTCAACAGAGGCTGTTCATCTTGTGTAAAGTTTAGGAAAATATACGGAAATGGGACAATGCTCAAGGTAAAGAGGGGAAAAAAATGATGACATTATACAAACTAGTTTACCTTTAACAGAACTGCCAATCAAAAGTAAGCACATTAAGTGATCAAACATGCCAACTCCCTGCAACTAATTCAGGAATATTTTCCAACATCTGGGTAATTCTTGAAATTCAAAGAAAATGCTAGCCCTGTGACATTACACTTTGGCAAAAGCATCCACGAAAATATTACTATCTTGGCATCCCTATTTTTTAAGCAAACACCTTTTGAGATTAAGATGCATTGTTAATATTCCATTGGGATTGCAGTAATTTTTGATGAAATTTAAACAGTTTTTATTGCTTGTATGTTAAAAAAAAGTATAATATCCTACTAACAATATTTAGAATAGGTTTAGTTCAGAAATACATCTGTGAGTATCTAAACATTATAAATCTCAAAAATGACATGATGTTTGGAATGAGTGAAATATCTGAAAATTCAGGAGCAATTACCCCTCATTAAGGCCCCTTTCACATCCAGTGGTACAATTAACTGGACCTGTTCAACTTCAGAGATCGACAACTGAATAGCTTGCCTGTTGCCTAAAAGAATCATCTAAAGTGCCCCCCCCCCCCCCCCTTACAAGTTCCTTCAGGATTGGAGATGCTTGCAGTAATGTATTAGATTCTAAGATAAGCTGCTGGGTATACCTGGCTGTGCCAAGTGAATGTCAGAAAAACATGACAGTTATCTTACTTGTTTGTTTTAATTGATTGATTGGTTTTACATGGAGTTTTTTATTGTCTAAATGAAGAATATGAACACAGTCTGTTGGCATAACAAGACGTACTGATGAGTATACTGGTTTGAACCAAGTGAATGTCACAAAATCATTGACAGTTATTGTTTTAGTAAATGAATTGTTTTTATAAGATGTCTTCACAGTCTTTACTTCTAGCATGCAAATGCTCTGTGTAACTTCTGTACATATGTTATATTGCTGCTATTCTTCCTCTTATCTCATACCCCCTCCCCAAAATAAATTATCTCCTTCATAGCAGTTTCATTCCTTGTTCATTCCTTGGGGCCATTAAAAGCAAAACTGTCAGTGAAAAAAAAAAGTTCTTTTGTATTTATGTCTTGTCAAAGAGAATATCAAATTTCGGTTGAAAAAATTACCTCTTACACAACTTTTGCTAAATAAGAACAGGGAAATACAGATCATAGTGGTGCCAAAAATAATAAAATTCCTTTGGGTATTTGTCGCAGGAAGGGGGACATTTTGAACTTAAGAAAAAATTGGTTGGGTTCAAGTCATTTTGAGCTACTTGTTGACAATTAATCAGTGAAACCTGTGCCTCGTTATTGACATTCCTGAAAACTTGTTTCAGCAGAAAGGGGAAAAAAGGAATGAACAAAGTTTATTCTTGTATGAAAAACAGATTTTCAGCAAAGTTTAAAGGAAATGAGCGTAATGAAAAAGTAAATTGTAAAAATGTAATACATGTGGATGTAATTTAGCTAAAGAAAAATGCAGTAATGATATTTTCAAGTACAGAGTAAAACTGAGATTGGGAAGTGAATTATACCATGGCTAAACACCTCTCCTAAGGTCGTCTTTGAAAGTTGTACAGATCTTAACATTTGGTAAAAGCTTATAAGTTGACGCCTACTTGGAGAAGGCAAGCTGCTGACCACCAACCCCTATGGTCCTATGCTATCTGTGAAGGCATTCTTGAAATCAGAAAGATATCAAAACCTGCATTTTATCAGGAGATGGATTGAAAAAAAAAACTTGGCTAAAAGTTTTAACTTTAAGACCTGAATTTTAATTGACTTTAATTCATAATAGATCTCTAGATGTCAATCAAAACAAGCAGCCATTGGTATGAAACCAAAGTCATTTCCTACTTATTATAAAACAGGCACAGTATTTTCTTGAAGTAAACACTCATTTATCTTGAGCCAAAATGCTATAGTTTTGGTCCAAAATTTTAGAGGAATTCACTTAGTTCATTTGTTAAACTGGCACCTAGCTAGGTGAAAAAAGGGTAGAAATAAGGAGCACTCTGCGGTTTACTTGAAGAGTTTTTTCCTCTGATTATTCATGTGTGGGCCTGGCATTGACCAGATAAATGAGGAGATCCATTCTCAAACAACCTGTGTGGGGCAACAAGAAATATTTTCATTCCCATGCCAAAGTATGGGAGAATATTTTCATTTGTCTGCCCATGTTTGACATCTTGACTCACAGGAAAAAGACGTACTTATCACTGAAGGCTGATGGTGCTTGAGGTTTGTATAAAAAAGAGGATATGCTTGTTGGCGAAAAAGTCATTAGGAAACCCTGAAGATGGTTAATGTTCCACCAATTTTGAAAAGTAACAGAGGCGTTCTGCTGCTTTTTCTGGACTATGCAGAATTGCTGTAGAGTTGAGCCGTCCCAAAGTTTTATTGTATGGCTGTGAATCAAACTTATTAATCATTGTTTTTCTTTATTTTTTTAAATTTTTTTTATTATTATTATTTTTTATCTTTTATTAATTTTTCCCAGTTGTTTGCAAATACTTGCCAACACATGGTTTAGCCTAGGCCTGTGTGCAGAAACCAAGAAAATTCCTTGCTGAAATGCATGCCGAGTCCTCTTTTTTCTTTTCAAAAAAGTCTCAAATAAGCAACTTGTGCAGGACATAGTTAGGATTAGAGATCATATATGTGAGAAATTAAATTTTTATCATATTTTTTTTATTTATTTTGTCTTTTTCTTATGAAAAGAAAGTAGACATCAGTGTCTTCATGCAAATGGCAGACGATCTAAATCTTGCCACAGCCTGGCGTCAGGTAACCCAGGAGCTAATTCTCTTAATAGGGTCGGAGAGAAGGAGTGGATAATTGTGTTGGTCTCAGCAATATTATTATGCCAGAGAAAATGTGATTTGCAGTCAACTGTAGTGAAACATGGAATGAAATCACATGGGCGAGAGTAAAACGGGGAGCATGTGTTAGGTTCGGGGCCTCGGCTGATGGATCGTGTCGCCTGGGCAGCCAACCGTAATGGAGGGAATCCAATAGAGAGAAATTACTGCAGTCTGCCAAAGGCTATTACAGCAAATTTCCCCATTTTTGAAATATGAAGGTACAATTGCACATCTGGTGTAATGTATAGTTTTTTCATCTCTTTCTTTCTCTCTCTTTTTTTCCTTCTTGAAAGTATGATTAAAGGCGTTGCTGTAATCTGTGCTGCTATATAGGGTTATGTTGCCTGGTATAAGCTTAATAGCTCTCCATTAATGGTACAATGTGATGGATGGAAAGACTGCTCAGAAAGATGAGAATCTGATAATGTTCCTTAATGAAATATTCACATCTTTTATGGTCGGCTCTTTTAAAAGGCATCACTACTGAGAAGTAGTTTGGATGTTACAGATATCTTGGGAGTTAGAGAACTTAGCTAAGGCAAATTGAAATGAAGCAATTTTTTTTTTTTAATTCTACATAAATATAACAGTTGGTGCAATTGCTTAAAATTTTTTTTGTCAACAATGGTAATAGTAATTATGGTCTTTTAAACTAATAATAGTGATTATAATAAAGATAATTTTAATTTAAATTTGACCTAGTCACATTTGACTGTTTTTCCCCAGTTTGATGAAAATATCTTTTGAAAAAAACAACAAAGGCACTATTTGTCATCCATCATAACCTTCATCAGAGTAGGTTGCCAGTTAGTCCCTGTATGATGGTTTAAAATTGCAGTTCAATTGTTCCAGTTAAGTGTAGATGGATGGCGAAATTGATGTTTAATTTAGTGAAGAGAATTGCTCAGAACCGCAGAAGTGACAAAGCTGTCAAAATGGCGTGCTTTCATTATGTGTGATAACTGCATAACTGCGCCACTGCCACAGAAGAGATGAAGTGTTGGTTACGTTGTTTATAAATGAAAGGCTAAGTGGGACAAAAGTCACCGGTATTGAGAAAAAACTATTGAACAGTGATTTTTATTTCTCTCTTTGATCTCCCATCTCGGGGACTGCTCAATCCTGAGGAACTGGATGAATTTTAACTATAGCAGAGAAAAAATGCCATCGCAGATGGTGAACCACTACTACCCTCTCCCTCCACCATCAAGTAGCACTATGCAAATCAAATTGTCTAGTCTCCCAAATATATCACAGGAGCCACTCATCTGGCCACAGTGAACTCCAGGACCATAGCATTGTGGGTGCAATATCAGTGGAGGCCGAGGGAAAACAATCATACCTTATAATTTGATTCTTCAAACTGATCTCCAGTCCCAGCACTTTTGTGAATGTTTTTTAAACACTCTTTCTTTTTAACTCTACTGATTAATTTGGCTCGCGAAGGATTTTGGAGGCAACTGTGACGAAAGCAGAATTAGAACAGGATTCAGCTTCAGACAAAACTTAATTATCATTCAATCAGTTGTTCCTATAATTCCCTTTGGGTAATTGAGGCAGAATTTAATCTAGGAGAGCAAGTGTGCATTGGAAAATGTGTAAAATGTCCCTGAGCTAGAAAACATTTACCCACATGCATGCCTGCTCATGCACACATTTGCTCATGGAGATTTGTTTGTATCCTCAAACAAGTTAATAATATCCTGAGTAATGATCTTTTTGACAAATCTTAAAACCACATAAAAAAGGAGAAAAGGGGAAAAGGGAAAAGAAAAAGAATCAATGTTATTTCCTTTTGGAAACTCTTACAAATCACATCAAAACCACTTAAAAATAGATGAAAAGCAAATAAAAGGAAAAAATAATAAAAAGGAAAAGAACAGAAACAGCATGATTCCTTTTCAGAAACTGTGAAAAAGAAACTAAATTTAGAAAAAAGTGCCATGGTCCTGGGTTAATGGGGAGAAGATAATTCCCAGGATCAATATCACTACAGAGTATTATAAGATACAATAACGTTCTTCACATCAGAAGTGCTTTCATCTCGACAAAAAAGGTCTCTTCTGTTGATGACAGTCATTCAAAACGTCGAAATCTCTCAACTTGCATTTCAAAGGATTCCTGTCACGAATGGAAAAACGGGAATAAATCAGGCATGCTTGACAAAGAAAAACCCAATCAAAATCTGCGAAAGTCGGATATGTATGAAATCTAATGGTTAAATATAAGTGTCAACAATCATTGGTAATAGAATTTTTATGGCCATGGCAAGCTTCCCCTTCAGGCTCTCCTGAACCTTTTTCATTAAATCTAGGGGAAAGATCCTTTATCAAATTTGTCTCAACTCTCAGGGAAGATGTGAAAATCAATAGCTCAAGATAGCAAGGACTAAAAGCTTTTTCTGTACACATCATATTGATCACTTATGTACATAAAGAAAACCACAGCTGAGTTTTCCTCATTTAGAAAACCAAATATCAGCTAGCTCTATCATGTTTCTTTCAGTCATTCGGCCTTTTTAGCATTCATTATTCTCCCCAACTGACCAGGCACTGTATCTTTTCATCAAGTTTGGATCAATGGAAAGAATACAATACGTTTTTTCACTGATTGCAGCTAGTAGTCTCAGAACACCTGTTCTTTTCTCCAGCTTTAATTCCTATGCCAGAAGGTGATTCTTATCCATCTCAACTTCATTAATGAACAATAAAAATCATAAAACTAATGGAATCAGCTAGCGTCTATCTTACATTTGCAAATCTTCTATGTTTTATGATACTAGCTCAAACGTTATTCTTTTTATCGCACATATGTGAGCATGCATACTTAATGTGTTTGGAAAATATAATAACAGAATGAAATCCCTTCTCTTAAAAGCTTGTTCTAAATAATTGATAATCAGATTTGTTCACTTCATCCCTCTGATACACTGGGACCATTATTTCTATAATCTAATAGGATGATGTCATGCCATTTACAGTGACTCAGCCTCACTGAGAGGTGCTAAAAGACACAGTATTCTAATGCAATAAAAAACTTTCCCATGCTCTTTGCCATCCCCCGTGGATTTCTCCCTGTCACCCATATTTATGGGCTGTGCTCTTGGTAATTTTTCTCTGACAGCGATGGCTTTGTGTAATGAGTCTTAACTGCCTCTGGGTTAAGCTCCTTAATTTTACTCCTGGTAACAGGCCATTTGTAGTTAATACACAACATCATATTGCATCTGAATGCTTCTAGAGGCCAGCATACACTGTGACCTTCAAGCTGAGCTACTGACACCCTAGGGCTATAAGCTTCAATCTATGTTTTTGTTCTATAAATTTTCAAAGTCAGTTCAGGAAACAATCACATCAAATGCACTTCGTACTTAAGTTAACTTATAATGCCGAAATGAGGCTAAAATTGCAGAAGGGCTGATGAAAGCAAACAGAATAAGCTGGGGATTACACACACACACACACACACACACACACACACACACACCAAAGCACATTTCAATACAATGTCATTTTATAGCAAATTAATATTGCATTACACCATCTTAATTTGAATTTCTATCAAATGCAACATTCAACTTGGTTGCAATCTTTTTTTTTTTTTTTTTTTTTTTGTCTAACAAAGGTCCCATTCCACATAATAGTGAAAAAATAATCCATTTCAATGAAATATGTTGTGTCACATTTAGAGCTCATTAAGAATGTACATCATCTTTACTAGGAATTCTTTCACATGTTCCAATCTGGTGACAATCTTATTTTTTTGCTCATAGTAACATACTGGTGACTGCGGGTGGGATTTCCTCATCTAGATTACAGTGCACATTCTCTGCTTCCTTGTCAATGTATACTGCAATTGTTCACAGATTTCAAACATGCTCGCTTATTCTAGTATGTCTTTTCAAACAAAACTTTTTGTTGCTACTTTTGAAAACTCAATGACTGACATTCACCCAGCTCACTTGAAAAAAAAAAAACTGTCAAAATTTTTTTCAGGTACAAATTTTAAAGGATAATTATGAATGATCAAATCTGCTGGAATTCAGAGAGTGATTTCATTGCTCATACCCACATGAGCAAAATCACGTGCACACAAACACATAAAAATTAAATTCTTAAAAAAAAAAAAGATTTTAGAAAACTTTAAATTGTGAAGTGGTACTGCTAACCTACCAGTATACATGTACTGTACTAAAGCAGCTAGGGCATCGGAATCAACGTCCTTCATCCTAATCTCCTCTTGTGTGGCCTCGCGGACGTCATTTGTAAACATCGCAGCGAAGTAATCGGAAGCTGCACTGAGAATGAGCCTATGAGCTGGAATGGTGCGCTCTCCCACGAGCAGGACGACATCACAGAGTAAACGTTTTTGTGCATAGACTTCCACCTTGCGGATCATGCGTTCCGCATGGTTTATGGATCGGTACAGGTCTTCTGTGTTCTGGTCCTCCATTCTGTTACAATGGTAGCCCCCGTACGTATGGTGGACCAGGTACCTGGAATATACAAAAGATTTTTTTCATTGAAAAGGAATGAAAACAAATGGAAACAATATCACAATATCGTATGTAATCATGCACATCACTCTCCAACTTGTGAGATATGTCAGCCAGTCTACTTTTTCTAGACAGCTATTGGCAAAATTGCTGCTGGTAGCAATAAACTTTGTGCTCAGCTTCTGTCTTATCCTAAGTCAGACATGGCTAACAATAAAATTTAAGGAAGTACATGCGATAATATGGCATTCTCTCCTCAGAAAGTGAAAACTTTCCCCCACTTCAAAAATAAAAGGAAAAGAAAAGAAAGCACATGGGTTGCGCTGGTTGCCTCAAATTTCTTGCAGGTTGATCATTTTCAGATCACAGTTTGTACTTACATACTCACATCACATGAACAGACACGTAAAGTCAACCACATCCATAGCATTACAGTTATTTTTAGCTAAATGTCATACTTTAAAAACGACGTAACCTTTCGCCACCATGCATTAGCTTCAACCACAATGTTCTAAGTAAGGAAAACTTTCCATGTTTTAAAACAATGAACCTCCTACCTTCTTCTCCACTTAACAGTGGATGTATCTTGCCCTTACCCTTTATAACAGCTAATAAAACATATACTGGTTTTATGGCATAATACAATCCACACATATATATAAGCACACCCAACAAACTTCGTAAACTTGTCACATGCTGCTTCACCACAAGACAGTTATAAATAAAAACATAATAGAGTTATAGCATGATGTCATGGAAGATTTCAAGTCTGCTATATAAAGTAAGCCAGACATGAAATACTTACATACACATATATATTTATATATAGTACACAACAACGCTACAGCTTCCTTCACTGGCAGGGACAATTACAGAATCCATAAATTTCAGAAAGGAAATCAAAATGACTGGCAGCTTCACAATGCCTCCCTCTAGACCCATGTAATTAATAATACTGTGCTCTGTAAATTGAACTTTTTTTGCCTATTTCAGGAAAGCAGCCATGACAATCCCACTGAGCATCTGCTCTGGCGGGAACACAGCTGATCCTTTGCAATATTTAGCTGCCACTCCCCGGCTGCCTCCTGCAGGCAGTTCAATTATGCCCCACTGGGTTCCTACTGAGTTATTACTAGGATCCCACTGGGTTCAAAGAGTGGGTGTATTCCCCACTGGGTTCAAAGAGTGGGTGTATTCCCTACTGGGTTCAAAGAGTGGGTGCATTCCCCACCAGGTTCAAAGAGTGGGTGCCTTCCCCACTGGGTTCAAAGAGTGGATGCATTCCCCACTGGGTTCAAAGAGTGGATGCATTCCCCACTGGGTTCAAATAGTGGGTGCATTCTCCACTGGGTTCAAAGAGTGGGTGCATTCCCAACTGGGTTCAAAGAGTGGCCTTACTAGTACTGTCTTTTTTCTATTGTTTGTCTTTCTCACTTCCACCACTCTCCTTTAATCACTCCCTTTTCCATTCTCCCTCCTCCTCCCTCTTTCTCTCTCTATGACGCACGTTTCTTCCTTAAAGTACAGCCACACTTTTAATGAATCCCCACTATTCAATTATTAAGACCCGATCCCGAGGACACTGACTGCCATATCCTTTAGATACAATTATAGTCACAAATTACCATTCCCCATCTATTCCTTATCAAACATATATAGAGGACAGTAACTCTTCATTAACTAAATGATCTTAACATATGGCACTTGTAGTACTACTCCCAAAGGGGATAAAGTATCAAGTAAATCTCATCAGTTTGGAAATGGCCTCCAAGATAATTTCCCATAAGACCCAATAAGAATACCCTTTTCAGGGATTAATAGAGAAAAGAAAAGAAACAATATTGAAAGAGGACATTTTTCATTACCAAGAATAACCATTATGGGGTATGTGTCACAATGGAACCACTTTGAAAGAAAGGTCTCTCCTCAAAATTTGATTGAAAAAATAATTTATTATGAGAGACTATTAATTTGATATT